GCCTATGGCTAGGAGGAGTGAGTTATAAGAAATACCCGTGGCTCGGCACCTGTGGCTCAAGTGGCTAAGCCACATACACCTAAGGTGGTGGGTTTGAATCCAGCCCCCGCCTGCCAAACAACAATGACGGCTGCAACCAAAAATAGCCGCGCGTTGTGGCGGGCGCCTGTGGCCCCAGCTACTTGGGAGGCTGAGGCAGGAGACTTGCTTGAGCCGAGGAGTTGGAGGTTGCTGTGAGCTGTGATGCAACAGCACTCTACCCAGGGAGACAGCTTGAGGCTCTGTCTCAAAAAAAGAAAAGAAAAGAAATACCCCTATAGCTCAGTAATGGAACACCTTGGTGAAAAGGGCATAGAGAGGGATTTAGCTCTCCTAACAAGCATGAGAACTCAGGAGATGAGAGCAGTGGTAAATTGGCAGTCTCTACACCTGTGGTGTTGAGAGGCACTGATCAGCCTTATATTAGGCTGAAGGAGAAGGCAGTCAGGATCATGTATATTCTATCACGGACCTACTTACTGTGACTGTCTCCTCTCCTGCCTGCAGAACGCCAGCACGGCGTCTCTGCTGAAGATCACTAAGCTCTGCTAAAGACTAAGATCTATTTTTCTAAGAAGACTGCTTTACTCTAAGACTCTCTCCTGCTAAAGTAGATAGCCCTCAGGCACCTGAGAGAAATTGTTCTTGAGCAGGGTAGCTTAGCAGTCCACATCTGGAACCCTGGCTAGTCACAGGCCCTAACACTTATTTCTTTAGATTTGTTTTTTTAAAGATGTAAAATACAACATCTGTCCCCTTCTCAGTCCCATTCCCTTCCTTCCACAAAATTAACTATTTTCCACAGTTTTTTTTTTTTTTTTTTTGGAGATAGAGCCTGAAGCTATATAGCCCTGGGTAGAGTGCAATGGCATCACAGCTCATAGCAACCTCAAACTCCTGGGCTTAAGCAATTCTCTTGCTTCAGCCTCCCAAGGAGCTGGGACTACAGGTGCACCTGCCATAATGCCTGACTATTTTTTAGTTGTATTTGTCATTATTTGCAGACCCGGGCCAGATTCGAACCTGCCAGCTCTAGTGTATATGGCTGGAGCCTTAGCCTCTTGAGCTACAGGTGCCACCACCAGAATGTACTTTTAATCTCATTTCCTCTGGAGTAGCTGCTCCTTAGCTGTGATTTTTCTTCACTTTTAGTAAATTCTTTATGGCTCACTTTATACCAAATTCAAACAGGACGTTTTGGAAGCCATTCATGAAGGAGAACATGTGTAAGAGAGGAGGTGGATGCAGGTAGGGAGAGCCTCCCCACCCTCTGCTGTGCTATGAGTGTGTGAGTATGAGAAACCATGTGGCTGGGTGTTGGAGTGATCGACTTATTATAAAATAGGATACTTAAATGTACAAATGCAGAGAAGACTGTGTTGGTACTGTCTAGACTCACATTAATCAGAAGTCTGAATGGAGATACATGTGGAGATCCAGCTGGGGGGACAAAGTGCTCTGTCACCTCTTACGTGCTTGCTGTGTCCTGCACTATTATAAGCACTCACAGTATGTTAATTTATGTAATCTTCATCCCAGCCAGTGTGGTGGGTATCAGTATTATCCTCACTTGACAGATAAGGAAACAGACATAGAAAGGTTCAGTGACTTGTTTATGGTTAC